GAGAGAGAGAGAGAGAGAGAGAGAGAGAGAGAGAAAGGGAAAAAAACTCATCCACCAGGAATCACACAAGTCAGACCTGAATGAGTTTCAGTGTTGTGAAGGTTCTTTGCCTATTTTAATATGTTCTCATGTTGACTTAACAGTAAATATTGAAACACAAAATTTACATGTTAACAGTAAAGCAGCACATATTTATAGCACATTTTTGCAAGGTTTTACACTAAGGTTAAAAAGTTTTGGATCAATAAGATTTTTCAAAGAAAATCATACTTTATTAACAAAGAACACATTAGTTTGATTTAAATTGACAGTAAATACTTTTAAATGCAGTTCTTTTGAATCAAAGAATCCTGTAAAAATATATCACGGTTTCCACAAAAATATTAGGCAGCACAACTGTTTCTGTATATTGATAATAATAAATCTTTCTTGAGCAGCATAGAATGATTTCTGAAGGATCATGTGACACTGAAGACTGGAGTAATGATGCTGAAAATTCAGCTAGCACAGGAATAAATGACATTTTACAATAAATTAAAATAGAAAATAGTTATTTTAAATTGTAAATATATTTCACAGTATTACTGTTTTTACTGTATTTTGATCAAATAAATGCAGCCGGTGAACATAAAAGACTTATTTCAAAAACCCCAAACTTTTGAGCAGTAGAGTGTATTTGCAAAATATCAGGTTGCATTTGTAATGTTTAACCCAGTGTTTTGCTCATTGTCACTTTGACAGCTCTGCGCCTGTGGGTCCAAGGGTGTGCGCTACACGTATCACCTTTCGGAAGTCATGGAGAACTGGAGCACTGATCAGGGTGAGGACTCACAGTGCCACAATCCTGCTTCTACAAAATGTGGAATGTTTTGACAGGGTTTACAAAGGTCTGTTGTTCTGTAACAGCACATCTCATAGAGACAGCTCAATCATGACTGAAGTTACTCTTTCGCTAAGCTGCAACTGCCATTCGAACAGGACACCTCATCCCCTACACACAATACGACAGAACGATAGAACGATAGATAGATAGATAGATAGATAGATGTTTAACCCAGTGTTTTGCTCATTGTCACTTTGACAGCTCTGCGCCTGTGGGTCCAAGGGTGTGCGCTACACGTATCACCTTTCGGAAGTCATGGAGAACTGGAGCACTGATCAGGGTGAGGACTCACAGTGCCACAATCCTGCTTCTACAAAATGTGGAATGTTTTGACAGGGTTTACAAAGGTCTGTTGTTCTGTAACAGCACATCTCATAGAGACAGCTCAATCATGACTGAAGTTACTCTTTCGCTAAGCTGCAACTGCCATTCGACCAGGACACCTCATCCCCTACACACAATACGACAGAACGATAGATAGATAGATAGATGTAAAATTCTTTGAATCTATCTATCTATGAAAAAATAAGAAAGTTAGAGTGTTGACCCTCTCCTCACCTCTTACTTGTAAATTCTTTGAGTGTCTGTGTTTGAATTCAGAATCCAGAATGAAGTTGATTCTCTTCAGAGAGACTGAACTCTCAATCCCATCTCTCCCCTCCACTAATGCTAAACCACAGAGGTGGATCAATCACTCTTCCCTAGCTCTCCCCATCGGCTCTGAAAGTGTGACAATAAAAGAAGGAAGAACAGAAAACTTTATTGTAGAGATGGTACGGCAACTGTGTGAAACAACAACTGCTCGACGTGTTTGTGAGGGTCACATGGCAGCGTAGCATATTT